TCCACAAAACTCGCAAATGCCTTAAGAACCTCACTGTACATGACATACGAGTCTGCAAACTGGCCACCAGCAGCGCATTCACCAAGGTGATAACTGTTGGATGATTTAATTACTGATTGATTATAGATAGATAACTTGGCACATACTCGAAGAATCGTATATTACCCCCAACTTCTGGATCGTGGCCACCCATGAGGACGGAGAACTTCCATCCGCCAGTCATGTGGCTCAGGTGTCGGAAGATACGATCTAACACCACCAGAAGGTCATGGATTGCCCTGCATAACGGTGAATCTTGCTGAAGAAATGCTCAAAGTAAAAGTACATACTTAATCTTGGTATTGTCGTCTACCTCTTCCCTCACCTTAGCTTGGGCGACCTTGCGGGCTTTCTTGAACTTCTTTTTCAACTTTTGGTGCTCCTTCTTAACCTTCTCTTTCACAGCAATCGACTCCACCTCGTATTTCTCTGCTGTGATCTCACGACGCATGCGGAGCGTAGAGCCACGCGAGGTAATTCCCCCCTCTGCAATTGCATTGTCGGCTGACTGCTTGATGTGGTCGGCATAGTACATCTGCGAGTAAACCTCAACTTCCTTTGGCACACACATGGATGTGCCTCCTGTGAGTGTTTTTTTCCATGGCAAGCACTCCTCTCGAACCACCTGAACATGCAAGACGCGCAGGGTTTGTCTTCCACCAATACCAGCGCACGATTTGTTGTGATCGACAGTAAGCAAATGTTTCGATAATGTAAGTGAACATGTACTTCTTTTCGCTTTTTTAATGGTGTCTTATACACCTCCTTTTGCTCCTCAGTCAGCTCGTCCTCGTCATCAACATCGGGATAGTATATTTTATGGACTGGCCATTGGGCAAAAAATTTCTTGTTGATTTTGGGCCAGAACTCCGTGTAATTTTTTGTCGGCATGTAAGTGCGATATTCAGCTAACATTGACATCAGGATGACATCTTGCTCATCCATAGCCCATGTCAGTGGAGCCATTGTGTTGAGCACTGCGCGAACACGTAGGCAAGGGGGGTTTGAGTATGAGTATAGCGCACCAAGACACAGAACATATAATGCATTGCTTGATATGCAACTTTGCTGTCAAACGGAGACACAGAACATACAATGTATTACTTAGTCGCTGTCAATATTCAACTTCACTGTCAAATGGAGGATCTCGATGTCACAAGTATATACCAGATGCTAATGCATTACTTGGTATCCAACTTTGCTGCAAATGGAGAATCTCAATGTGAACACGAACATCTATCTATGCTACAAAGAACCTCAATATATCTATCTTAGAGTTATCTGTACAACATACAACCCGCGGGTGTATTCAGCTGTCTGCGGGTTCTTTAAGTCCAGTCTTCTGGTATGCATGGCATGCATATCCAAGTAAACTCTAATATGTCTGGCGGTGTCAAAGTCATTGCGCAAGCAAGCTGCCTTTCTCCTGAAAAATAGTTCTTAATCAACTGCGAACCAAGGGTGATCAAAGGTTGAAGTAGAATAGAAGCAAATAGAACTTTACCTCTCGGTGTTTTGGAATCCACACCTGGATTATAGCTTCCCCCAAGCTGCTAATTGTTGTGGTATCCCCACCCGGGTAGACGCCGTGGTAGGAAAGGTAGACATCGCACTCAGGCCATCGAGCGAACCATACCTCATAAACAGACTCCAAGAACTTGTCATAGTCGCTAATGGGAATCTTGTCGAATCCGTCATATAGTTCAGCAAGAAATGCGCATTGAGCTGGAGACAGGTACTGTGCTTCGAGTTTTTGAGACATTGAGTGAGAAGGGCGGAAGAGTGTAAGAATGCAACTTATTCTCTATAATAACTACGATAAAGTTAATGCATTACAATTTACAAGGACCCGGCAGATATGTGTGCTTACAATCTCTGAAAGTCCGTAAGTCCTTGGTCAACATTTATCGACAATTATAGTAGCACATCACAGAGTCTCATACAGTAAGTCCTCCTGCCTGCACCTGTCAGCAAGGTCGGACATCCCTGATGTTCTGTAGTACCACAGTTCCTCAACTGCAGCTATAATCTTTTTGCACCACTTAGAAATTGCACAGACCTCCTTGAAAAATCTTGTCATGCCCATCTCTTTGAGCACACTTGCTTCCAGTACCTGCAGACCAACCTGAACCTCTTCAAGATGTGTGAGGACCTCGAGAAGCTTGCATATGGCAGTTTCCTGTGTCTCGACACTGCATAAGAGCTGGTCGCAAAGTTCTTTGCAGAATTATTGCGCTGGTACATCAGTACAGTCCAGTAGTGCAGCCTGGGCACAATTGAACTGCTGGCTTTGCAGCATTGAATGATGACAGCCATAAATTAGTAAAACTTAGTTCGTAATTGTAAGAACATCTTACACATGTGACGGTTGAGTTTTTGAGTGACCTGGCCTGCGTATTCCGGTGGTTTGCTTTGATTCCGGCGCGATAATGATCTGAAAGGGGCTTGTCTTAGAGGTAGGGCAAGAGGTAGGGCAGAGCTTCGTTGTCGCAGTTTCTAGAGAGGTGGTAGTGCACTGGGCATTGCCTGTCGTCCGATTTGCACAATATCTGCTATTCTTTTCACAGATAGCCTTCTTGTTCCTAGAGACCAGTGTCTCACTATGAGCATGCATTGAATTGACAAATCACCTACATTTGATAGTATTTTCTGCAGGATTCACATGCTGCTTGGGCCCTCTCAGTGTCATCCTTGTATTTGAATGGACGACCCCCCATTGGTGTCGAGTGGAGCAGTAGGAGTTAACTGGTATTATAAGTGTTGTTTTGAGAGTGTTAAGTGGTAGTGTTGAACGTGTTTGGGAGAATAATGCCATTGGGAGATTAATGGTTTGGGAAATTAACCGTTGGTACGCTTCAAAACTGAATTCACCATAAGCTCACTAGCTATTAAGGTCATATAGCTATGTCAACCTCCCACAGTTACTGTCAATGTTGACATTGTGACTGGTGCAACAAGACTGTCTGCCCTCATACTCATAATATTCCTGACCTTGAACCGTCCGAAGTGCGACTTGACATTGAATCTTTGTCTGATGCCAATAAGAACTGCCCGCCATGACACTCTGTTATGACCAATGTTCACCAATAATGATGAAGGCGAGCACACAACCACTAGGACTCGGTCAGAGAGAATAGCAAACAAGATGGTATTGAGCGTGAACGTCTAAGTCACTACAAGTGTAGGAAACGAAGAGGTTAAGTCTAAGGAGTACTTATGCTAACTAACCTACTTATATACACAACATTGAATAGGAGTCTGAAAGAAATCAGCCAATGAGAAAAGAGTTGTACGATACTGCGGATGACTAAGTATGACTCATGATATATAAGCAAATGAGTAAGATGGCAACTAAACAGAAACCCAAGTTCCGACCGGTTCTTCTTTAGGAAGCGAGATTGTTCTAGCCCGTGGAGTAGGGGAGCCAATTGGAGAAACCACAGGTGATATGTGAAGAGGTGAAGGTGTGACAGGGTTGGGAGTCATGTGACCGGTTTGGGTACTGGAAGTAGCCAAAGGAAAACCAAGAAATGAAAAATGATTCGTATTTGGAATTTGTGACACACTCATAGTAAATATTCCTGAATCCTGACCGTTCCGACACAGTACACAACCAATATTCCTGACTGTGAGCTGTCGTCCGACGCAGTAGCAAGCTACTTCAACCTCCCAGAGAACAAAATGTGTTCAAGAAACGATATCATGATTGCAAGCAAGAAACACGTGGGCAGCAAGTACAGATAAGAAACACGCGGGCGACAAGTACATATTTCATATATACACTAGGTATCACATTCATTTGCTAGCAGCAGCAACCATCAGAGTGGCAACTCCTGCACAGTGCCATCTTGCAGCACCTGGGCATATGCCTCATCTGCACTAGCACGAGAGGTGTACCGTCCGAAACAAGCTCCAGGAACACCTACTACATGTGAATGGACATTATGCCTGGAAGAACATTGAATTGAGATGTCTAGGTCTAGATGAGAAGGAGGATACGTACCAGCCTTGAAATACACTGGTCTCACATCCAACAGTAATGACGTACCAGCAGGCCAAAGCAGAAGTACTCCCGTGATGTGGAGCAGCGGTGGTGAGAGATGTAGCAGCAGCAATGGTGACTGGGGGTGGCGCAGCATTGGTAGCTGCAACACCAGCTGCTGCAGGAGGTGCAACATTGCCTGTAGTAGCCACGCTGGTCAAGGAACTCGTGTCTGTGACACTCTGAGCCTCATCTGGTGTGTTCGATCAGGATCTGGTATAGCTTTTTACATGAAGCGAAAACTTACCTCCTCCTTCAGGTAGGTCTGGACTGTTGCTAAGGGAAACTGCCAGGGGAATTTGAGTGCGACAGACATAACAAATTTGCCTATGAGAACGAAGAACACAACCTGGGCAGTAGCCTACTGCTAGCACTTCCTCCACATAGTCAGGGAGGTTAACGCCAGCCTCAGCATGGGCATGTGTGAGAACTGAAAATGATGATTTGAGTGCAACGACAAACCAGTGTTATTACGCTGACTTACATAGTTGATCGCACAAAAGCTCCACCACTGTGACCAGTTCGGACAAACTGAAGGTTTGTTCCTTAACCATCGTGGGAAAGACCTTCATTTTGGACAAACAGATGGAGCTCAATGTAATAACAACACTCAGTGACTGAAGATAGCTAAAGATGTGGTTGCTCAATGATGGGAAAAGGTTTCAATCAACGTATCTTATATCACTCACATTGGCAAACATTGGCAAACTCCGCCGTGGGCTTCACAGAAGGGTTCTCACACGACAAGAAGCCGATACATAAGGATTGGGAGGATCCCGAAGCACATCCTCACTCACTCCCATAAGTCTGGACTCATCAGACAATTCAGACCACGCAATGTCGAGCTCTAGTGGAGGCATCACCAGCAGTGACCCACCAGGTATTGTATATCTGCTCAATGCATGATGTGGGATTGATCATGAATTTCATAGCTCATGAAACAACTGTGATCCAGGCCATGATGTTGCCTTGGTCTTGGCATGAACTCAATAATTGTGGTCATAGCAGCCGGGGTCATGGTCGGGGTCGGGGTCGTGTGCGCGGACAACATGACACTGGACTTGGCCGTGGCAGTGGTCATGGATGCAATAGGTCGCATTTCAATGAATACATTATCGCTCCTTCATCAAGTCTGCCAATTACTCACGAGAGGGTCAAATTTACCTCACAACTGCACGGTGGTCTAGCTGCATCTCGTCAAGATGTCATCAGGTCCTTGGAGGCATCTTCTTTCACCAACGCACATTCTGCAGACATTATTCTTAGTGATAACATCGGCGACAATGGGAATGGTGATTACTATGCAGCAATGGATGAGGATCCTTCACCTGAAGTGGAAGTAGGATCTCTGAATAAGCGCAAGCGCACAGCTGGTGTATGTGGATGGTTTGGTTTCCACTCGCTTACTGTTTGCTGACCTTCTCCAGGACCATCCTCTCCTTAATTGGATTGATCATTGGGAATTATTCCTTCTCAAGATGCTTCGCCACGACGGAAGAGGTGATGGTGTCTCGTCGACCTTCTGTGACACCTGCGGGATCACTGTTGGTGTATACCACTGTAAGGATTGTTTCATGCCCGGATTATCATGTCAGATGTGTGTTGTTCATACTCACGCACATTCACCGATGCATCGTGTAGAGGTAAGTGGCATGTCTGATTGGGATGCTGTACATGCCTCATCGGAATCCTACAGAAGTGGAATGACAAGTGCTTCCAAAATGTGACTCTTAAAGATCTGGGGCTTTGCATGCAACTCGGTCATAAGATTGGTGAATCATGCCTGCTTCCCAACCGAGTGTTCAATGATGATTTCATCCTCATCGACACCCTTGGCATCCACCCTATGGCCATGGATTTTTGTGGGTGTGACAGAGCACAAACTCACACCCAACAACTGTTATGTGTTGGTTGGTTCCCTGCGACAACCAGTGACCCAAGAACTGCAGCGACATTTGGCATGCTCTGGCAGTTCCACATCTTGTCATTTGAGTCGAAAGTTTCCTCATACGAATTTTACCATTCTTTAGCTCGTCTCATGGACAATACAGGCCTTCTGAAGCGCAAGGATCGGTATGAGGTGTTCATGCGCATGGCGCGTGAATTTCGGCATGTGAAGATGCTGAAGCGAGCTGGCTGTGGACACGATCCTTCAGGCATCATTGCCACACAGCAGGGTGAATGCGCGGTTTTATGCCCAGCATGCCCTCAGCCCGGGAGGAATCTTCCTCATGCTTGGCAACTTGCTCCAAAAGGAAAAAGGTACGCACTTCATTGATTGATAATAACGGCTTCTCATGCATCTCCAGATGGTTATATGGCCTCTTTCTTGCAATCGATGCGAACTTTTGCCTGAAGAGGCAGATAGTCTCAAAGGATACTGTGGATCCGAGTTTGTCCTGTGGGTGGGGATACTTTGTCGACGAGACCACATACAAGACACATCTTACCAATCACGGCATGGAAGCCCAAGAGGTATGTATCATGTTTTGTTTTATCTTAAGCTTGTATTGGTAGATGTAACACAGAAAAGCATGTGCGCTAGTCATAATGCAGTGAACATGGCAGAATCGAAGTCATCAAAGGGACTAGCAGCCACGGGACTTGGAACCATCGACTGTGCCTGACATAATATGAAGCTTCCAAATGGCATTGGGGACTTGCAGAAAGGCAAGAGGTACGTACTGCTTGGATGTGCGTGGACCCACTTCATTGATTCGCCAATTCCAGATATATTAATATGGATTTTCTGTTCTTTTCAACCTTATGTCACCGCTCTCTCGAAGTTCTTAATGTGTCATATGATATCGCGTGCCAGTGGCACAAAAATCTGTGGGCCAGGATGGTAACACTTCCAGAGGATTATCAGCTTGATCACGCAATCAAAACTGTTCGCTTCTTCGTACCCAAATTCCATCTTCCTGTGCACATCGCAAAATGCCAGACAATGTTCTCTTTCAACTGGTCTCATTGGGTTGGGCGCACTGATGGCGAGGCTCCAGAGCGAGGATGGTCAAACATCAACCCAGTGGTTTCTAGTACAAAAGAGATGGGTCCAGGCTGTCGATGGGACACGTTGGACAATCATTTCGGAGACTGGAATTGGAAGAAGGTCGTCAACTTAGGTAATTAATAATCATCCCCCGAAGCAGCAGCTCTAAGTGTGCATTTCAGGGGCGAGCTTGCTATGGAAGATGAAAGAAGCAATGCAGGAGAAGGTGGCCTTCCATGTGGCCTTTGAAGAACTCAATGCTGCCATTACCAAAGAACATTGCATAGCCTGGACGGCAGAGGTAGAAAGGTGGGAGGATAATCCCAATGACACGTGTGTGCCAAATCCATTTGAGGCTAAATCAATAGGTCCGTCTGAAAAGGAGCTGATTTGTCATAGCAATCATGCAGGCTGGTGCACGCCTGAAACTAGCGCAACTGGAGGCAAAGGAGCTGGAAAGGGAGGCAGGTGTATTGCTGCACCTGGAGGTCTCACCGAGTGTCTTCATAGGATTGGGTCTGGATTTAGAAGAAGAGCAGTAAGTTCGGTTGTTTTCTTCTCTGTATTACGATGCTGATCATGACGCAGATGGCGTGTCACTAGGTTCATGAAGGGTCTGGGTAACCACGTCACGGATACCCAGAAAGGAAACCTGCAATGTCAGAGGAACACTTTACATCGCAAAATCGAGTCATGGTGGATCACGCAAGCGCTATACATGCCTATCGTGCATGGCACACTCTCTACTTCAATATCACCATCCTCTGATTTAGGGATCGATAATGCGGAGGACTTGAGGCTTTTTCTCCCTTCTGCTATCGGCAATCGTCCATGCCACGACCACCTGCGACTCTACGAATGGGAACTACGCCTGGCTCAGGCACATGACGCGCTGGAAGAACTCAGGCAATGTCTGCAGATACGCTCATCACTCTTGACATACAAGAAGGACTGGGTCTGCGGGCAGGGTGCGAACACAAGGGCTCAAAATGCCTTGGAACGTGTTACTGGAAGACAAGCAGCCTGTACAGCAAGGTACCATGCTTCATGGGACGCGCTGAATGTCCTGGCAGGAGAGCTTGGAAAAGTGGGGTGGCAAGGAGGACTTTGGCCACTGGAGCCTGACGATATACGACCGCTTATTGATCCAGCTATCATTCCTGGGCAGGGGAGACGAAAACTGACCTGGATTTGGAGGATGAGTGGCGTAGATAGTGGTGGAGATGGTACAGATGAAAACAGTGAGTGGCAATGTTCGTAGTCACAGCCTAAACTAACACTAGATCAGGCGTGAGGGTAGAATGGTGCAAAGTGCGAGCTTGTGCGATGCGCTGGGCTGAGGAGGTCGAATTGCTCCATGAAGAAATGTGTTGTGTCCTTCAATTTTTTCTGTGGCAGGCCAGCTGGTGGGATGAGCAGGGGCATTGGCATGTGGAGGAGGATACAGGGTGTCTCGAGGGTATATGAGCTTATGCTGCCAAGCAGGCAAACATTCACCGAGCGTTCACCGATCATTTCCAGACTTTATGGTCTCCCTTTCTCTCTCCTGACACCATAGCCTTGTCGAACGTGGTTCATTCTAGCGCAGACCATGCTGCCGACCTCCCTAGTCTCTCGGTGCCGCCTCCACCCGAGGTGTAGTTGCTTATGTGCCTGTGTACATTATTGCCAATATATGTCTATTTTGCATCCCTGAAGTATGTGTGCGGTGTGTATGTAATGCTTCGTGGTACCTTAGATTGGATCTGGACACCCTTCTGGTCAGCGTGCTTCACAGTGAAGGTACCGTGTGAACTGATCTGATTCCTGGGGGGAACATGCTTCTGGTCAGGAACACACTTCTGGTCACTGTGCTTGACAGCGAAGGTACCGTGTGAACTGGAATTTGGATGCCGGAGACAGGGCAGGCGGAGACAGGGTAGGTGTGTCTTAGGGGCAGCTGTCTTACAACTGTAATGAATTAATGCATGATTCAGGCTTACAATTGTAGTCGCTCATGTATTACAAGTATCTTACAATTATAAGACTTAATGTATCATCACCCCAGGGTGTTGTGCTGAAATCAACAAAAAAATTCAAGGTTTAGATGTGAGTTGTTTATGTCTTTCATAGCACTATAAAATCTGCTGAACCATGGGTTAATTCAGACAATCATGGCTACCAGTCACAAGGTTGCCTCCAAGCATGCAAAATCCACAGATGCACAACCAGCACAACCACCTGTGCATACCACAAGTGGTCGACAGCGACGGCCGACCAAAAAAGAAAATTACCACGGTAAATCCTGACAGTATTGTGCAAGAACGTCTCACTCACTAGCGACTCTACAGTCTCTGAGTCTCAGCACATTACCCATCACCAAGAACACAAGGAAAAGAAGTTAGAGAAACGGAAGAAAAAAGTACTGAAGGCTACTTACCAAGCTGATCCCAACGTCTTTGAGCAAGAGCCATCTGAGCTGCATAGCGACATTGATAGGGAAGAAGAAACTATGGTTTGATCACCCGTTTTCTTTTCCGCAACTCAGAATAATCACAGATAAAATATTTATTTAGTTCTCAGATTGCAATATGCCGTCCAAGCTGTCCCGGCCCAAGGTCCTGACATTCAGTGCTGGGAAAATCCCCCCGCCGATGTTGCATAATGCCAGTGCCACCTGCAAGGCTACTACCACAGGTACGTGTCTACTCTGTTAATTCTATACTAAGACTAATCCACCTCCACTACTATCAAGCAGCTCCAACTCTGAGTCCATGTGATGATGAGTCAACAGACTGTGACTCTCAACCTGAAGCTCAGGTTGACCACACTGATGACTCGGAAGAGGACAATAATGACAACGCTGAAGAACTATCGCCAATAGCTCGAGGGACCAAGCGACCACTTGATGTGACTTTGGAAGATGCCATGGTACTGCCAAAGATCAAGAAAAATTCGGATGGTTCACGCCAACGCATGAAAGCCAGTGACTTTGATGATGTCTCCAAAGAGATTCTTGTGACGGCAAGCTCTATTTTCCAGTGTCTAATTGTCACCCAGGCACCATTTCCCGATAACCTTGCAGTTGAGACAAAATTGGCAAAAGCAGCCTGGCATGAGGCGTGTCAAATCAAAGGTGTCAATGTCAAACTGATGCCTTCGGTGGTCAAAATGGTGAGTTGTCTGTTCTCCATGTGTTCTTCATCTGATTTATATCATACCTTGTGAAGCTCTTGACCCGCACATCACAAGTGCATGGGGAACTTAAAACGAAAATGCGATCACTGACTGGGTCTTTTTTCAGTTTCCGGACAAGCAATTCCAACGATGTGATAAGACAGAATAGAGATCTAGCAGAGTCTTTGAAAGACGGTTCTGTGTTTGCTTTCAAGGTACGCATTTTGATGATCTACATGGTGTTTCAAGTCCTGAGTCCTTGGACTAATAGGATTGGGCATCGAAGAAGGGAATCTACAAGACCGAATTACTGCAACTGGGTATCAATGTCATGTGGTTTGCAAATCGTCACGACGAAGGTGTCGTATACCATAAATACTTTAATCCTATGCCCGTTGAAGTTATCGCTCTTGTGCTTACAACTGTGAGTCTCTTATTCTTATATTCAAGTTGATGGTGCTGATGAATCACTGGTAGATTGAATGTTGTATCGACAAATGGTTACAAGGTCTGAAGGAGGATATTAAATTCACATCAGCTACTTATGGAACTGTCTACCATGATCATTTCGGCTCATTGCAGCGCTTCAATGAGCGCACGGCGCCTTATAAACTCCTCGAAAGAATTCATATCAATCTGCACAACATGGCTCAGTGCGTTGAACAGTGTCCTTTTCGCAAATGATATTCTAACATTCATGCTTTGAAGTTTCCACGCAGGTGTCGACACCCTCCCTACTATGTCGTCATCTGCATCCCGGATCAGTGATGAGGCGTTCGAAGATGCCATCCAAGAGTATCGACTTGAGGAGCAGGATGATGCAGAGGCTAGCAAGTCGTAAAATGTGTTGACTTGTTGATTAGTAGACATTCAAATTCAATTGTTTTTGTGATTCTGCGTGCTACTATGTGATATATGTATTACTATATAGCTGCTGGAAGCTGGCAGTAGTAGCGCTACATGAACTATGTAGTGCTACAGTGGCTCAAAAAACTGTCCACATGTTTTCACATTTTTCACTATCTATGATATTGTGTGAGAATATACAAACACATCAAGGACATGCTGGTACCATATTGTAGTACTACTTCAGGGCTTCCAATTGAGCCATATGGCGTGGGAATTGGTCGAGATATGGTGGAGATATGAGGCTTACAAAATGATGACTCATGCGGACAGTTTTTTGACTCAAGTATTTTACAGTGATAATCAGGTATTCTAGTACATTGTGTGACCTACCTTGGCTTTAATTACTGCCTCTATCCTTCTAGGCATACTCTTAAAACTATATCTAACTATATAAACCAGAATGTCTCATGTGTCATGGTCATAATTACCATGAAAGCCGTCTCCTCTACTCAAAGGGATAATATCTTCTCTTTGTCCTATGCTGGCCTCTCTGCTCATCAAATTTCCTCTAGAACTGAAGTATGCAAGTCTACTGCAGCCAAGTGTATCAAAGAAAGCCACCTGGACAAGGAAAACTCTTGTGGAGGACGTCCACCTCTGCTAATAAGGGGGCTATCATCCAACATATCACTACAGGAAAGGCTAATAATGCCCTCCAAGCCACCCATTATACCAATTCCACCATCACCACCACTGTCTCTTCACAAACTGTGAGGAATGTTCTCAAGGCAGCTCATCTCAAGGCAGTAACAAAGAAGAAATGCCTCTTATCTCTATTAAACATAGGCTGAAAAGACTACCTTTGGCTTGGCCCATCAAAACTGGACTGTAGAGGACTGGAAGCATGTTATATGTTCAGATGAGACCAAAATCAATAGGATTGGGTCAGATGGGAAGGTATATGTATGGAAAAAGAAGAGGGATTTTCTAACAGACAGAGAGGTTAGTGAGGCTGTCAGATTTGGAGGAGGTTCTCTAATGGTATGGGGCTGTATGAGATGGAATGGTGTGGGTATGCCCGCTGAAGTTGAGGGGAGGATGGATGCTGAGCAGTATGTGGACATTCTAAATGACCACTTGCTGCCTAGCATAGCTGACTCAGGGATTGATGAAGAAGACATCATTTTCCAACAGGATAATGATCCCAAGCACACATCTAGGAGAGCCAGACAATGGTTTAAAGAACATAATATCAATGTTCTTGACTGAACAGCACAGTCCCCTGATGTCAATGTCATTGAACATCTCTGGGGAATACTCAAGAAGATGCTTCAAGCCTATGAAACCCCCCCTAAAGGAGTATAGGAGCTATGGGAGAGAGTAGCAGTGGAATGGGCAAGGATTACAGCAGAATATTGCCAGAAATTGATTGAGAGTATGCCTAGAAGGATAGAGGCAGTAATTAAAGCCAAGGGAGGTCACACAATGTACTAGAATACCTGATTATCACTGTAAAATACTTGAGTCAAAAAACTGTCCGCATGAGTCATCATTTTGTAAGCCTCATATCTCCACCATATCTCGACCAATTCCCACGCCATAGGGCTCAATTGGAAGCCCTGAAGTAGTACTACAATATGGTACCAGCATGTCCTTGATGTGTTTGTACATTCTCACACAATATCATAGATAGTGAAAAATGTGAAAACATGCGGACAGTTTTTTGAGCCACTGTATATAGCTGCCTGTAGTAGCACTCTGAGGAACTACAGTCTACTACAGTAGTACATGGTAGCGCTACCTGATTCTACATAGCACTATATAGTACAACATAGTTGCCTCACATACTATATAGAAGGGACTTGACTACCGAGCTACAGAGTCTACCCTGGCTATATAGTACTATATAGTCACTGGGCTTTTTCCTGATGATGACAGGGCACTGAATGTACTGATTCGTGCTGGCGATGGTGGTCTGGAGCGAGAATGACAAGAACTCATCCATATCATTTGAGGTTGCAACTACTGGCTCTGACTCGCGGGCAAAGCTGACAGTGGGGATGGCGGGAGAGGCTGACGACGGGATAGATGGTGGGATAGGGAACGGCGGGGGAGGCAGACAGCGGCATAGATGGTGGCATTGACAGACCTCCCGGCATTTTCTGGCCAATCGCTAGTAGATGTTCCCCAGACTTACCAGCAGACACCTCCCATACTTTTGACACAGAGTCTGTGGTCTGTCTGCATAGACCTTACGCAGACCAGCCAGATCCCGCATTTTCTGACCGCAACCACCATGTCAACACCTGGACCATTTGTCAAGCACGATACCCAACCCCTTTTATTAGTACCTAGCATCCTTTCAATTCCTATCACTTGCTAAACCCTTCCTTTCGTTACTGTTCCTCCATGTGTAACACTGCCATCTTCACCCTGTCAACAACTCTTATATCATTCTCGCT